ATCTTGCGTTGCGGTCACATCGGAAAGATATGCCCTAGACAGTGTGTCTGCAATGTACATCCTCGACCCCGGTTGGTAGACGATGTCTAGGTCGTACTTCTGGAGCCGAATGAGCATTCGTTGTAAGCGGCGTGGGACGACGTGCAGTGGTTTATTGGCTATTGATACCAGAGGCTTGTGATCGGTAAATACAGTGGTCCGGCGACCAAAAGTGTAATCGTTGAAACGCTCTACGGCATAAACCAATGCTAGCATCTCCTTTTCAATCTGTGCATAACGGCGCTCGGATTCCGTTAGTGTCCGACTGCGAAAATCGATGGGCTTCCCGTTCTGCATTAGCACGGCACCGATACCGAATTGGCTGCTGTCACACTGGATCTCAAGGGGAAGTGACGGATCGTAATACGCTAGGACAGGGGCGCACGCGATCAGTTGTTTGATGTTCTGGAAAGCCTCCTCCTGTTCTGTGTTCCACTGCCAGCTCTCGCCCTTATGTGTAAGTTTTCGGATAGGAACCATTACTTCGGCTAGTCGTGGAAGGAAGCGGCTGAGGTAATTCACCATCCCGTTTAGTCTGCTCACGGCTTTAACATCTGTCGGAGGTGGCATCTCTTTTATGGCTCTAACTTTCTCCGGATCTGGCTTTAGACCTTCTGCGCTCAAAACATGTCCGTGGAACACCAGCTCTGTTTTTCGTAACTCAATTTTCTCACGTTTCAATCTGATATTCTTGTCTTTACAGCGTTCTAGAAATCTGCTCAGGTTACGGTCGTGCTCTTCCAGAGTCGCCCCAAAAACCACTACATCGTCTGCTACACAAATAGCTCCGGGTAGATCGTCTAGGGCCTGCATTAATCGTTTCTGAAAAATTTCACTGGACACTTTCAAACCGAATGGTAAGCGCAACCACCGAAACCGTCCAAATGGCGTTCCGAACGTGGTTAAATAACTGGACTCTTCGTCAAGCTGGACGTGCCAGAAAGCGGAAGCGAGGTCGACCTTCGTGAACAATCTGGCCTTGGACAACTCGGGTAAGACGTCATCTAGCGTTGGTAGTGTAAAATACTCTCTCCTGAGTGCGGCGTTGAGCGGCTTAGGGTCGATGCACACACGCAAATCGCCTGACTTCTTGGTGATTATCGCGACTTGACTGACCCAATCGGTTGGCTCATCGACCTTGGCAATCACACCTAAACTGATCAAACGCTGCAACTCGTCTAAGAACTTCTCACGCAAAGCGATAGGTACTTTTCTCGCTGGTAGTGCTACTGGTCTAGCGGACTCGTTTAACGACAGGTGAGCTACGCCTTGGAATTTTCCCACGGTACCATCAAACACACTGGGATAGTTGTCTACGATCTCTGTACCGACTTCGCACGAGTGAACAAAACGATCATGATTAAAAGAAACAAAACCCAAACTCTGAATGGAATCAAGGCCCAGGATGGGCATTAAATCTCCTGATACCAGGAGAAAATCAAGTAAATGCTCGGAGCCATCCTTCGGGTTTATGGCCTTCATGGTAACGCAGCCCTTCGGTTGTAACTTTGATCCGTTCCACATTCTGAGCTGTGTCTGTATTTGGCGGTATTCTGCATCGGGACAGTATTTGTGAGGAAGTATGTTCACGCTTGCTCCTGAATCCAATTGGAATCGCACCGGACGCCCTTGAATAAGCAACGTTGCGAATACACAGACTGGTCTCTCACGTCCTGTCATGTTGTTAATAGCCAGTTCCTGCGGCTCTTCCTGATCGTCCTGCCCGACTGAGTCGACTTTGGTTGCCTGACAACAACGTGCAAAGTGGTTCTT